CGAAACAGAAAATTCATTCACCACACCCCACTCATTTCATCTCACGAGTATATGAGGAAACCATGGAAAGGGGAACATAGACTTATATGTCAGTAGCCAGCGATGGTGAACAGTGACAAAGGTGGACAACATTACGCATGCAAGCGTGACGACTTCACCAAATTTTAAAGCAATTGTTTTTTTATAAAACTTATAATGGTATGTGCCCAGCAAGGGACTGTTACACACTGGTAAAGATAAGATCGAAACTAGACACATAGCAAGCGAAATTGTATATTTTCAAGTGGCATAGAATTAGCTAAGTAAAATAAGTAACAATTTGCAAAGGATTACAAAGCGAAATTCCAACAAGTCCAAAGGGTAAAACGGTAAATAAAAACCAGACTGCGTAAAAAAAAGTTTACTGAACAGAGAAATGTTTTGTTTCCTGTCACTTCTACAACTGAAACGATTATAACGACAGCCCGTATGTCAACATTCATCAAACCATTTAAGCTACAGGGCATGCCAAAGAAATAGATATACATACCTACGTAGACTCGAGAAACTTTACCCTCCATCTGGGGCAGTCGGGTAAAATAGAATAATCGGTTTAGTTAGTGCTCCTTTACCGATAGCTTCGAGTACATAATATTAACAAGTTTTGTAGTTATTAGCAAGTCAGTGCTAATCTCAGTAGATTAACATGAACTTATCAACCAACAAATATCAAAATTGAATTAGTAGTATATCCAACTTACAATTGGCGGTCATATAGATGATCCCTTCTTAACACCCCCACTACTGGTCATACGTAGGCCTACTCTATCACTTACCGGAACCCATTTATTCAATTCCATTTTGTTACTTCTTACTAGCTAGATAATAATTTTATATAATACGAAAGCCTTTGGTAAAAAATGACTTTAGTGGGCCGTGGCCAAATTTATTCGATTCCTAGAAACATTTCACTTAAGTATAATATTAATACGAATGAAATTAGTTCATACAGCAGACATCGAGTTAAAAAAAGAGGATACCTGCGGAGTTTCTTTCGGCGTTTTTCTCCGGTCGAGAGACCTCATTTTGAAATGGTAGTAGATTTAGGTATTAGTTTTAAAACATCGATCACTACTAAAAACTAAATACACAATCAGTGACAAAAAATGTCCTTACCGAATGAACGCCCAATCGAACACGTACCTTTGTGAATACAACTTTAAGCAATGCATTTAAGGTTGAATTTACATTAATGTATTTATTTCAACTTGAATTACGTCAAAACAATTGGCGACAGTTTTTAGAGAACTTTTGCGTGGAATTGTGTATCTAGTTTTTTTATTAGTGACCGATGGTTTAAAACGAAATTTTAAAAAATAAATTTATTTTCTGCCGACTTCCAAAAAGGAGCCGGTACTCAATTCGACTGTATGTTTTTTTTTTTTTTCGTTTTTTTTTTTTTTTTTTTTTATGTGTGTTACCTCAGAATTCAGTCAGTTTTATTTGAAAGCTGGTACTTCTCGTGTGGTCCCATATGAATTTGATCAAGGTCAGACCAATAGTTTTTAAGTTATTCTTAAATAACTTATATTGAAGTCGGCTGTACAAAATTTTTAATTTTAAATTATATTACATCGATTAAATAAATTATATTTAATTTCATCCATTTGAAATAAACTCCAACGGTACAAAAACAACAAAAATCATTTAATAGTATATACATCTAGTATATAGTAGTCTGTACTTAAAAATAATAATTTTTGGATTAAAACAACTCTTTGATTTTCAAAATATGCGAACAATATAAATCTATCTAGATCGAGTGTCAAACGTATAAAATATGCCATCTGTAAGCGCTTTCTTGTTTATTATTTACGGATAAGTGTATCACAGGAGTGACATCAAAGCAAATTTACAGGTCAGAGTTTTACGTGGTGGAGCCAGTGTGCAGTTGTAATATAGCGGGCTATAATTTTTTTACAGAATAAAGGTGACAGACGAGCACAGTCCACCTGATGGTAAGTGGATGCAGTGGCTCATAGACATCATTCTCACACTCACACATTTATCCTCAATTAAGAATCAAAATGCAGATGCATTGTCATCCCGAAGGACTGAGATGGAAACCCTTGTTTCCAATTAAAAAGGAACCTACTCACCATACGAAATACAGCAGCATTAAGCTGCTATTTTACGCTGGTATTCATGATTGGGTCGGCTAGACCAAGGAAGGACTACGCTCACACAATATCAGTGGAATGTATCAGTAATCGACTGCATCAAATAAATTTGCTACTATCCTGTCTCACAAAAAGCTAAAAGAGCCAATCCTTTATTTCCACAACTTTTGTTCTAAGCTGACGCCATTTTAGCTCCTAAATCGTTTCATTTGTCTTGTGTTCATTTATTTTGCAACTAAGTACATAAATTATTATTAGTATGTTATTATTAACAGGCTGTTTTGCGTTTTAGACTTAATACTCTCTCTTATTTAGTTGAAGTTAGAGCTGCAGGTGCCCAAGGATTGTGTATCATGTCAGCCAGTTACCTCGGTATTTCTCTTATATAATAGAGTGCCACTATTATATAAGAGAAATGCCGAGGTAGAGTGAACAAAAAAGCAATTATAGCGTCATTTTTGTGATTTGAGGGAATTTCATTAAAACTCGTTAAGGTAGAACAAACCTCAGGGGTGTCACCTCCTCTACCCTCACGATTTTTTATAAAATTCTCTCAATCATTTACGTGGTATGGTTGCATATGTTCATTATTCTTATATAATCTGATGACACCTGAAGCTAAACCGGACAGTTTTTATAATTAGTAGACTTGCAACGAATATTCTGCTATTATTCGGGAATCTGCTTATTCGGCTAGTTTTTTTTTTATAGGATAAGGGTGACAAACGAGCACACAGTCCACCTGATGGTAAGTGGTTACTGTGACCCATAGACATCTACATCTATCTTCAATAAAGACTCAAGATGCAGATGCGTTGTCACCCGTGAGGACTAAGATGAAATGCCTCTTTGCCAGTAAAAAGGGTGTCCGGTTCTCTACACTCACCATACGAAACACAGCAACATTAAGCTGCTATTTTACGCTGGTTTTCTGTGAGAGCGTGGTCCTTCCCCGGTCGAGCAGACCCATTCGTGCTACAACCATAATATAGCTGCAGCATGGCTCTACCACGTAAAATGTTTGTCCCATTCGGTCGAATGCCGTATATCTAGATACTATTCGGCCGAATACCGAACACTTAAGTAAGAGGTTTTATTTTTGCCAGATAATTGGTAAAATAAAAATATCTATTTATTTTATAATTATTATTTTTTCTTGTAATAAGTAATTACAGTAGTCATACTTGGGTATATAATCAAGTTCCTATAAAAAATAACTATCAGATAAATGTCTATGCACTAAAATTATCATAATTAAAGTGGAAGATAATGGTGCAGAAACACTAATTTTTTCATTTTCAATCGGTTTACTTTTTTTAAAAAAAAAAAAGGAAAAGAAAAAAGGAATCAGTTTACTCCTTTTCTTCTGGCTACTTCCTTCCCGGCGGAATACTTCTGCCTAATAATATTCGGCTATTCGGCCAGGAAGTCCGCAGAATATTCGGTATTCGGCATGGGGCCGAATATACTACGCGTTGCAAGTCTAATAATTAGTGGAATATTAATATAAAAATAAATATTGTGCAACTAGTACAAGTTAATAAACACAAAATCACAAAAATGAAGCTATATACAAATCGCGTATCTTTAGTTACGCGACACTCCATCTAGACGGATAAAAAGGCGTCAATGAAAATAATAACTATTAACTGCAATGTCTATGTTCATTTCAGTATATCAGCCTTTATCCAAAATAACCTTTACTAACAAATATAATACTTTAACTCTTACAACTAACGGGGTTTTACTTGAAGCGACTTTTGCTCTACATATATCAATTACCCTTATATAGACTTTTTGGTACGATGTCCTCATAGAAATTCGTCTATGGGGAGAATTAATGAATATTTTCCTGTTAACCTCGCAAAAGATTATAGTCTGTAGATGTCTCTGCTAACAGAGCATCTCATCGTCAGCCTCACACGCGTTCGATGTATTGTTATTGCGAACACACTGTACATAGGATAATCTGTAATGTCAAACAAGGATTTCAATCTCACACACCCACACAATAGCGTAAATGGATCGACCAACAGAAACTTAAAACACGCTATTGAAGTTTTCGAACGACCCTGCACATATAGGACAAGCTGTGAACTACTACACGAAGTGTTTGCAACGCCCAGGGTTGCAAACTTTGTTCTTTCCTTTTCCTTCGACGGTCCAAAACCAACTAATCTTGCTATTGGCACTAACTTGTATTTTTGAGCTAAAGAACCACGGTTTAGTACCAAGGTATTCTGATATACCCCACGTGGTCAATATACTGTATGTTTACGCTATGCAATGCCTTTTCATTCTTATCCTAAAACAATAAATATATAAAATACTTCAAAACAACATTAATTACTATTTGTGATTGATCTGTGCGACATAATAACAACTTTTGTGTAATACAATTAAATAATCATGGATTGCAAACAATATTACACTTTGTGCCCGATACAAATAAGGTAGAAATTACTAAAAAAAATAACAGTCTATCTATCGTACAACAAAGTATACCATACTATATGACATAGATAAATAACGTCAGATAATAAATAGTTATTCATAGAAACTTACTCTAATATAATAATCATTCAAAATATTTCGCGTCAATTTGTCACAGATAAAATAATACTTGCATTTAAACATGGCCGACTTGAGGCCGAATCGCTGTCAATTGTATCAAAGACAAGTGACTTACAAACACTCTTGGGCTATAAATTTGTGATTATTCAATGAGGAAATTTCATCTTATTATCAATCTTGGATATAGTGTAAATAATGACCGCTCTTCCATACAGTTGTTTAGACTTATCGGCCATATGGGGAAACAATATGGAGGGGCTTTTGAGCTCAAAGTAGAGTACAGCGTCCGAAGAACCGTCGGCGACGTCGCTGCTTCTCTTCTTGCTGCGGGTGTCTGCGTATTATGCGCACCAACTGCAACGTTTCATGCACACTTGTTATATTAGATTCTAATAATTAGAAGAGAATAGAATAATTTTTATTAAGACTATAGATTAGAAGAAAAAGAAACATTTATTACAACACGTCACAAATATCATTTAGACGCTTAAATTTTAACATACATTTTTTATGATTAGAAGATTTTTTTTGATTACAAAAATATTTGACGGCTCCGTGGCTCAATGGCTTAGCAATGAGTTACGGCGCTAAGTACCGCGTATTCGAATCCCGCACGGAACAAGTATTTTTATGGCCTACAAGTAATTATACAATTAAATATCAAAACATTTAGACACAACATGACAGCGACATTCCCAGGGCTTAATATCTGTACCACTTTATTGTTGATTGATACACGAGTAGACTGTAGTACTCATAGGTTTATTCAATTCCAATTAACATTATATGTAGAAATTAAGATGTTGATGCAAAAAGATTATAGAAGGTACGGGAAGCGTTCGTTTATGCTAGTATATTGGGTGTCATCCCCGGAGCTCACACGGATCTCGCCAGTGGTCAAAAGGACATTCAAGACTCAGTTCTAGTACTACTACTACAGACTAGTCTCAAATGTGCTGGCGCAGGCACGGTGCGAGGTCTTCCTATGTTCTAACAAGACGTCGCGAACTTACATAGGCTGCACTAAAAGTATCGGGAATGGAATATTTCCACTGTTCCTGTCATATTAAAATCTTTTTAATTGAAAACTCCTTGGTTTTAAAAATCGAATACCATTTATTTATTTAAAAAAAGATTCTCGGTCTTGTCACAAGGTTTTGTCAAACTTGTTTAGTCGTTGAGAAAATCGAATTGACTCGAGAAAATTCAAGAGCGATGATTTATTATGACTTTCGAAATGGTTTAACACAAAAACAGTGTGTTGACCGGATGATTTCTGCATTTGGTGATGAAGCCCCATCCAAAACAACAATTTATCGCTGGTTTGCTGAATTTCAACGTGGACGTGTCAAGCTCAGTGATGAACCCCGTCAAGGTCGTCCAAAAACTGCAGTCACCCATGAAAACGTTGATGCTGTGCGTAAGCTGATTGAGGAAGATCGACATGTGACATACCGCCAAATTCAGGCAACTTTAGACATTGGCATGAGTCAAATACAAATAATCTTGCATGAACAATTAGGTGTAAAAAAGTTGTTTTCCCGATGGATACCGCATTCGCTCTGTGAAGAGCAAAAAGCGGCTCGCGTTACTTGGTGCGTCAGAACTCTCGAAAGATTCCACGCAGGATCCTCAAATGCTGTATACAACATCATATCAGGTGACGAATCCTGGATATACGCGTACGAACCAGAAACAAAAAACTAGTCACGAGTTTGGGTATTCGAAAATGAGTTAAAGCCAACAAAAATTGTTCGTTCACGGAGTGTTGCAAAAAAAATGGTGGCCACGTTTGTCTCCAAAACCGGCCATGTTACGACTATTCCTCTTGAGGGATAAAGAACCGTTAATGCAGAATAGTATGCTAGCATTTGTTTGCCACAGGTCGTTTCTGAACTCCGTAAAGAGAACTGCAACCGCCGCATCATCCTCCATCAAGACAATGCGAGTTCTCACACCGCACACAGAACAAAAGAGTTTTTAGAGCAAGGAAACATAGAATTATTAGACCATCCGCCGTACAGCCCCGACATAAGCCCTAATGATTTCTATACTTTCCCTAAAATAAAGAATAAATTGCGTGGACAGAGATTTTCATCACCTGAAGAAGCTGTGGACGCCTACAAAACGGCCATTTTGGAGACCCCATCTTCCGAATGGAATGGTTGCTTCAATGATTGGTTCCATCGTATGGAAAAATGCGTCAAATTTCGCGGAGAATACTTCGAAAAGCAATGAATACATTTTTAAATTGTAATGTTGTGTCACTTCCTTGATTCCCGAAATTTTCAGTGCCGCCCTCGTACTGCTCGGCGTTGAAGCGTACTCTTCAAAATTGATCAAGTGAAAGGGGACAGAGGTTGTTAAAACTTCAAGCAATAAATCCCTTCTTTGTTCGTATTTCAGCCACTCTGGATACTCCATCACTGCCCTTTGATTGTTTTCTTTTATTATCATAACGCGACACTAAAATATCTAAGGCTACAAGGTAATTTTCGTCGATGATAGGAATACATTTAATAAAATTATGTGGCTTTTAACTGCAAGTAGTAAATATCTAAACTTTTCCCGCATTACAGTTAACGCTGTTGTTATGTGCTAGCGAACGAAATAAATCATAAAACCACGGCCAATCGGTTGGATCGCCGAATTCTGGCAATGGCAATATAGGGAGATTTCTTCTGTTTGCTTGCACTATGACATCGGATGCTTGAAGTTGCTGGTCATTCTCCTTTTTCATATTATTTACATGAGTAACTATAATATAATATAAATCGATGTAATCATTACGAACTTTGATCATCTCATCTATATACAATGATTTTATTTAAATGAGCGGTTTGTTTGAACTTTATTGTATTTTATTTAGTGAACAGTTAAATCAATAGTTCGCGAACGAAAATGTTGTTCATTAGTCGCTGCGAGCTGAACAATACGATGTAGCTATTAAAGAATTAAATCTCTTTCGAAAATATCTTGTTCACACGGCGATTCGTCGTCCGACATTTTGCGTTACAAAATGGCGGATTAGAATTTTACCACGTAAAAGAAGTGAATACGTAGTACTGCAATAAATTTGTTAACAAGACAACACAAACTGGAAGATATTAATTCGGATCCAATGATCAAAAATGTTTAATCCGGATCTAATGACCAAAATGTTTATGTACGATATTTTTCTGGGTTTGGCGACTTACCGCTACAATCTCCCTGCAACCACGAATCCAAAGACTGGCTAAAGGAACTCGGGGCAGTCGTTGCAAAGTCGTTGCAATGATAGGAGTATCAAAGTTCAGCAGACTATCAAAATCACAACACGTCCAGGGTGAAAGGGATCTTGAGAGATGAGCTTGAGTAGCACGAAAGATATTTGTATGCGTGCGCGTCGGTAGTTTTAATTAGACTGTCCACAATTGCCGCCAATAGATATGGCGCCAATTTGGCACAGAGAGCCATAACCCGCAAGATTATGACTGTATTCAGAATGAAAACAGTCGATCGCCAACCCAATGAATTTAATAGAAATATAGAAAAAATACTATCTTCGAAGTTGTGTTGCCTTGCGACGAAAAAAGAAACAAAACACATAATATACAGGATGTCCCAGTAATGGCGGATAATGTGGTACGTACGTGTTCGGGCGGGGGGGAGGTGGCCTCGGTTTTTTTCACCACAGGTGCTCAAACTTAGCAGTTAAATAAAGTAAAAAATTAAAACTTATGTTTAGTGCCATCTTGTAAAATACTACCCATAGTAGTTGAAAACTTTTAAGGGTAATTTAGAAACATCATTATTAGGGAACAGATTAAAAGAAAAAAATCCGATCTATTCATTAAACTGCGGACGTGATGGCCACAAATGTAAGCAGAAGTACGAATTTTCGGAATTTTATAAAACATAGCGTAGACCGCGAACCGTTCGGGATAGAATTTTTTTTTTAGGAAGCCGAGGACACCCCCCCCCCCCCCCCCCCCCCCCGCCCAAACACGTACGTACCAGATTATCCACCATTACTAGAACATTCTGTATAAATAATCTGTTCCAGTACGGAACAATATCAATCATGTAATTTCAGCTTTATATGTATATATATATCGACGACGAAGTGCCAATATCTCATATCTTAAATATGAAAGTTTTACAGGAAGCGAAAAAAACTTCTCATAATTTTATTTTAATTTTAATTTTGATTTTATTTGATAAATTCACTTTATTTTTGAATGTAAATACGGCCTGTTAATTGTAATTTCCTGTAAAACCAGTATTTACTAAAATATTTATACATAGGAGGTATTGGTTTTTGTTTAGTTACATTTTGGTAAATCGAGAGGATAATAGGAGCAAATACTAAAAGTAAAATAATATAAATACGCAGCTTTTTATTACAAATGATAGAAGATTTACAAAAAAATATACCTACTTCAAATGTTTTTAATGTCTTGGTGTTCTAAAGTGCTTATTTGGATATTATTATATGGACAAAACAAAAAAGATTAGTAGTAACTTAAATAAGTATAACTTTACGACAACAAGAATGAATTTCTAGCAACTCAGACATTTTCATGAACGAAACTTTAAATTATGGAACATTAGGTTCTTATGGCCTATAAATAAAAAATAAACAAGATCATCATCATTATTACAGCGCTTCACAAGTCCACTGCTGAACATAGGCCTCCCCCAAGGAACGCCACAAAGCACGGTACTGAGCCACCCGCATCCATCGACTTCCTGCATGTCTTACCAGGTCGACACTGCAACTAGTGGGGGGACACCCTACACATCGTCCGCCGGTATGAGGCTGCCACTCGAGAACCTTTTTTCCCCATCGGTTGTCGATTCTTCGAGCTATATGGCCGGCCCATTGGCACTTCAGCTTACTAACCCGTTGGGCTATGTCGGTTACTCTGGTTCTACTGCGGATATCCTCATTTCTAAGTTTATCACGCAGAGAAACTCCAAGCATAGCCCTCTCCATAGATCGCTGAGTGACCTTGAGCTTTCTCATCCGGCCAGCAGTGAAGGACCACGTCTCTGTTCCATAACTCATCACTGGCAACACGCACTGGTTGTAAAGTCTCGTTTTTAAGTTTTGAGGTATACCTGATGATAAGATGTGCCGTAATATCCCGAACGCTGCCCAACCGAGTTGAATCCGTCGATTGACCTCTCGGTTGAAGTTGGACTTACCTAGTCGGACTATTTGTCCCAGGTACACATACTCGTCAACAACTTCGTGCTTAGTGCTTCCAACAACTACCGGCATAGGTGTGACATGGACGTTAAACATAATCTTTGTTTTGTCCATGTTCATCTTAAGACCTATCCGTTGGGAGACACTATTGAAGTCATTG